AATCATATTCAGTTATAGTGTTGCACATAGATTTAGAATGTTCAAAAGGGTGAATGAAAATTATGATTTCTGTGCAACCATTAATTGTAAAACAGAAAAATAATTAAAGGAATGACACCTCACAACTATTTAGGGATAATTTGGGAATAATTGGTAAAAATTCATTTACTAAAAAGAGAAAGTAAGAATGTAATTTTGAAACACCAAAAAAGAAAAGCATGAATATAATTAAGGGACGGAGGGACTAAATTACGGAGTAATATTTTACAAATCATATCATGACTTGGTAAATACTCTAAATACAATGAATCCTTTGTACCAAGTAATAATCTTTTATAGTAATTGAGTAATTGACATTATTATATAGTAATTGACATTAAAAAAATCATATCATGATTTGTTGAATACTCTAAATACAATGAATCTTGTGTAATAATAATCTTTATAAAGTAATTGACATTAATATATAGTAATTGACAATAAAAGATTTTTTAAAATAAAAGTGAAATTGGAGTAAAAAAAATAGCTTTAGGAAGTGACATGTGTTATTCCCGATACCGGGATTTAGTATTATGTTATTGATTTATACTTTCATGTGATTAAATAATTTTTTTCGCGATTGAAATTGTTTTGGAAATACATTACAATATATATTAGGCGTTCAGTAACGTGATTTATGTTTGACTTGAATTACATGTAATACTTTGATGTTTAACCCGTTTCATCCTTCATGTGCCATTAATTTATTTATTCGAAATATTTATAATAATTAAAATAAAATAGTAAAAACTCGGACCAGATTATTTTATTAGATTTTGTATTTACACTAATTTATTGTGGACCACTAATATTAGAGAAACTATGATTGTTTTATTAATAAAAAAAAAAGTCACTATAATAAAAATAAGGTTACTATGTTAAATTAAAAGTCATTTTCGTAATTTATAGGCTATAAGTGGTTAATTTTTTTAATGAAATGTTTTATATACTAGTCAATATGAAAAATAAAGGTCACTATGTTAAAATTAGAATCATAACGTCGTATTCAAGTTTACAATAATATTAAACGTTATACAAGTTTTAATTACTGTGTTAAAAATAAAGGTCACTATGTTCAATATAATATCAGTTGCGTGTGTATAAATCTTGGGTCCACAATAATATTATTGTGTACTAGGTCCATGGAAGTGATTTTGTATGGCTTACTGATACATTTTATTATATTAAGTACAATATAAATCATCTCATCTTTATCTTTGCCATTAAAATTGAATTGAAAACAGTAGAATTTCATTCGTAACCAGAGCAATCCACAATGCAAGCAAGCAAGGAATAACGCACAGTAATTAATAATACTAATGTATAGTATATTAAATTATTTGGTTTGCAATTTTAATATCTTGCAGCTGATTAATTTGGTTTCATACCTATTCACCTAGATTCAAAGCCTTAATCTAACTTCTATTTCTCTCATCTTTATTTTTGTGTCCTAAACCAACAAAATGACCATATACAAATTAGAAGAAAACCTTAGTAAATTTATCTCTACTTTAAATGTCGACGATAAGTTCCTATTTCTCATTGTTACTATCCGTGCGGAATCCGATTTCAGTAGTTTTTGCGTAATCAACCTAAGGGTAGATAAATTATTTATACATGGAACCGAGATAAAAGAACCTTTGTTACAAAAGTTGCAAGACTCTATTAGGTTAAGGCCAATACCCGGTTATGTTTTCGTTAATGGTAATGGATCATGCTATATTTGTCCGTCACACATGGGTGTATATAGGACGATTGATAATAATATCTTTGATTGGTCTCGATTTGGAGTCATTGTACCAAACTCCGTCAATGATATCTCAAGAAATCAATTACAAGTCAAGGATAAAGAATTGGCGTCGATGAGTAGCCTACTTTCTTGTGCTAAGGATGAGGCATTGGCAAATAAGGATGGTTGGGAAGCCTCCAAGGAAGAGTTGAAGGAGATTCGGAAACAACTTTTGGCTTGTCAAAAGGATGGAGAAGACGTGAAATTGGAGTTAAAATCTACGAAATTTGAGTTAGAAATTTCCAAGGAAAGGGTGATTGAGTTGGAGGAACAACTTGTGTTAACTAAAAAGGAAAGTGATGCTTGGAGAGTTAAGTTTATGAATATGGAGGATCAAGTTTCTTTGATTGAAGATGAGTTAAAATCAACAAAGGTTGAGCTAGAATCGTCGAAGAAAAACATGAAAGAGGTTGAGTGTCAACTTTCCTCTACTAAACAAGAAAATCAAGTTATTATCAAAGAATTAGAAAATGATATTTCTACAAGGTTAAGTTACAATCAACTAATAGCCAATTGGAGTCATTTCGCGAAAAGAATATAGAGCTTGAAGAACAAGTTTCAAGCTGTCTAAAGGAAAGCAAAGCAAAAGAAGAAAAGCTTATTAAAGTACAAGATCAACTTAATATGACAATGGATGATCAAGTACAGTCCATGAAGATAATGTTTGAGTTTGCTGAGGCGAAGGAGTTGGAGGATCAATGTCTTGGTGATTATGTAAATCAAACAGCAATTGAAATTGTTGATGAATGAATATATGAAGATTGTAAATATTTGATTATGTATGTGCCAACTTTGAACTCCAAAATCCATAATAGTTATTCAAGCAGCCGTTAGTTGATATAATAGATACTAGTAGTATTATTCAATTTGTACCGGTACGCTGGCTGAATTATTCAACGCATGATTTATAATGATACGAATGAAATATATATAATACATTTATGCATGTTTGTTATTACTTTTAGCCATTTTAGGTGTAGTTTTATGCATAACTATATACCCGCTTTATAATTTGACGTACATAGCTTGTAATTCCTAATGTAATAAATTAAATTATATTATTGTTTCTTTGAGGCATGGTTACCTACCCAATGCCATGCGTCAAAACGTATAGCTAGCTTGATCACGGTTGTGTACACCTTATTTGAATCACGCATTACATTGAATATAAACAATAAATCAATATTGTATTAATTGTTTCTTTAATTTTAGAGATTGATTTGATGCTTAAAAGTAAGCAGCGTTCTCAGGGTGTTAGATAAGAGAACTAACATGAAAATTATCAAAGAAAAATATATATACATACAATATAACAATACCGAGTTAGTTGTGATTTTGACATACAGTACATTATTCTCAATTTTATACTATTTTAAGCTATAAATTAATTGGTTATTATCTAATACTCGAGACCTGAGACGCTTGTTACCAAGATTCTAGAAATAATTATTTTCATTTGTAATTAAGAAATGCAACTTTGAATTATTATACATGCATATATACGCATAGTAGTTTTATAGTTTAGGCATAGTTGTCTAAAATTAAACGTTAGTTCCACTAGCTTGATATAGGGAGTTTAAAAATCGCACAATCTAGTTTGGCGCTATCTAAAATTTCAACAAATTTTTACTTACAAATATCATGTTTATTTTTTTTTTTTACTTTTTTTTTTTACACATATAATATGTTACGTACGTCAATTTATTTTTTTGTTTATATCATTAGCTTTTGATTATTGACTACGTGGTACATAGACTCATTTTATGTTTAATTTTATACGATTATTTGCACAACCATTTGCCTTAGAAAATGTAAAACACTAGTGATTTTCCTAAAGCCGGCTAAACCATATTGTGTAAATATTTAATCTCCTACTTGCTAATATTTTTAAAATTAATTTTCCTCTATAAATTTCACTCAATCTTATGCAAAAATTCCACAGCCTATCTATTTTCATTTGTGTAATTCAACAACAACAACAACAAAAGAAAGAAAAGAAAAGAAAATGAATTTTCTCAAGTCCATTGCAACCTTTTCATTTTTCATCATAGCAATGGTAGCCTTGGCTGGATTTTGTCATGCACAAAATTCACCACAAGACTATGTTGATGCCCACAACGCGGCTAGGGCCGAGGTGGGTGTCGAAAACATAGAGTGGGATGACGAATTGGCAGCCTACGCCCAACAATACGCCAACCAACGTATGGATGATTGTGCTCTAGAGCATTCTGAGGGGCCTTATGGAGAGAATATCGTTGCCGGTCCCGGTGATGCTAGTGGCATAGATGCAGTTAAAATGTGGGTTGATGAGAAGGCTAATTATGACTATGATTCCAATACTTGTGCTCCAAATGAGATGTGTGGACATTATACTCAAGTGGTTTGGCGTAATTCCGTTCGTGTTGGATGTGCTAGGGTTCTATGTAACGGTGGTGGGATTTTTATCACCTGTAACTATGATCCTCGAGGCAATTTTAATGGAGAAAAACCCTACTAGCTAGAGTTTTTGGTCTGATCAACCAGCTATCTAGCTTGTTAAACCATATAATACTTCGCTTGTGTTATGCTCACTAGGGCATTCACTAATACTTAATAAATTATGAGAATTCAATAAGCCTGTATACTATATAAAATATCAAATAAAGTAATATACAAGAAATCCCTATTCATGCACCTGTTTAGCTCCATAGGGATATATTTTGCTCTTTTGAATATACTCTATATTTAAATAAGAAGAATAATACTGTTGGATTTGAATTGTTTGGGTTAGTAGAAAAAGGCTCATTTGCGTCGCTCATTTATAGTGTATTTGCGTCGCTTCTATGAGCGACGCAACTGCTCGCGACGCAAATGACTTAAAAGTCATTTGAATCGCTTCTAGGCGCGACGCAAATAAGAGTCATTTGCGTCGCTCCTTTTCTTCAGATAAACTTCTTGTTTGTTATTTGCGTCACTTGTTTATATAGGAGTGACGCAAATGACTGACTAGACAATACAAAATTGCTTTATTTGCGTCACTTGTTTGTTTAATGAGTGACGCAAATGAGGTGAATTTTTTTTTTTTTTCATTATAATAATTGCCTTGTATATGTTTGTAGTGCCTGTTTTCCTTGCTAGAGGTATAAAGTTATATGCTAACGCTAATATAATTGAAAGGGAGTCATTGCAACTATATTGCCAAAACTTGCGGGAGGTCCTAAGACAAAACATTTGATACCATAAAGATGTTTGTACTACAATTTCCCAATATGATTTTAACAAAAGAAACATAGTATTCAATAATCATGAAAATGCTTCAAGTATCAAAATTCAAGGGTCTGCAAACAATACTAATTTCCAAGCCCTGTGATAGATCCTAGCTACATCACAATATCTATCCAAAAAAACACCTTAAATTCCGGCAAAAGCCTTCTTTCCACCAGCAGCAGCTCCAGCTGGAATCACCTTCAACACATAGAACCTCACTGTCTTTGAGATAGGCCTGGATAATTATCAGGGAAATATGATCAAGTTAAACACTGAGATCTGTTAGAAATATACAAAAATAACACAATATCAACCAAAGTGCTCCAAGAGCAACTGACCTGCATTGACCAATGATTACGTGGTCTCCTTCCTTGACACGGAAACAGGGTGACACATGTGCAGGGATGTTTGACTGCCTCTTCTCGTACCTGCAAGCAACATAACAGCAAACAAAATAATAAGAATACCGAACAATCACATATAACACAACAGCACTTGGGAAAACAAAATAGCTAATACTTGCCTTTGGTACTTCTTGATGTAATGAAGGTAGTTACGGCGAACAATAATGGTTCTCTGCATCTTAGCACTGTGGCAAGTACCAGCTAGAATACGGCCCCTGATTGAAACAGAGCCGGTGAAGGGACATTTCTTGTCAATGTAAGCTCCTAATATCGAACAACAGTACATCAGTTATGCATGAATGAGAATTAACAGTACTCAATGGGAAAAAAACAGGTCTTAGGAAGACCAGTAAGCAGAACAAATGTCAAACAACCACAAAATCTGATTACTGATTACAAGAGATCACTATAACACAAGCATATCAAAATGGCTAGTTTGCCCATACTTGACACAACAATGCTCAAGTATCAATCAGTCAACCATGTCATAAAGAACCAAGACTAACAATTCTAATACACAGCTTTAATGGCTAAAGCTAAAATAAAGGCCCCTGTGTTGTGTTCAAGAAAAAAAATCCAACGTGTTTCAACATCAAATTTCCCCAGCAAATAAAACAGATAAGAATCTTAAATCAGCTTTCTCCATCCATTCTAGAAATAACAACAATACATGTTAGAATATCACAACAAAAACCTGATACTAGGATACACTCCAACATTTACAGTTCTTGCAGATGCAACAGTGACACTAAAATTCATTTCAAGGCTTCAAGCCAATTACCACTCATATAAAGTAAAAGTCTGTAGAGCCTTATTGCACAAAGCTTATGGCCATCAATAAAGTGCTTACAGATTACACACCCCCCTTAATACCAACCAACTCTACTTAAGATACAAATTTCATTCCGAAAACTTGAGAACCTCCTCTCAAAATGACCAGCTCACCAGAAAGTTGCTTTCTCCCAAGGGCATCATTAAAGTTCATAAATTTCAGCTGATCGCAATGATGACTGTCTCAATCTATAGATTATGATCTCTTATGAGTGTTCTGACTAAGATAAAAATAAGTAAGCGTTTTCTAGTCTCTTCATCAGATTCTGTTCTGATATGTTATAACTTAACTTTTGTAACATACTCAATACTTTTTGACATTTTCATTGACATTTTCAACACATTTTCAGAGAACAAAACTGCAAACCATTTTCAGAAATTATAAATTGCATTTTAAACTAAATGAATGAGCCATTCCCTCAAACCATATTCTGAGTTCTATAGCAATTATGACTTCAATTTCATGAAATGTTTTCGCATTATAGAAACACAAATCAAAAATAAAAAAACCCTAGAACAGAACTAATGAATTGGACGAAAAAAAATACAACTTCACTAAATACAAGAAATCTTACCTTAGGTGAAATAAACTCAACAAATTCAACAATGTCGAACTGCTACACTAATCATGTTGATAAGTATATTAGGTGACTCGTACTTCGTAGCTTTGTCCGCCCGATCGGGCGGACATTGCCCGGTCTGACCGGGCGGAAGAAGAAGAGGTGCCTGGCAAATTCGTTGAAGAAGCTGCTCTCGCGCCCGACCGGGCGAGCCTTCGCCCGACCGGGCGAGCCTTCGCCCGATCGGGCAGACCTTGCCCGGTCTGACCGGGCGGTGGGGGTTGGATACGTTGAAGCATTCGTATGGAGTTTTCTTCTCGCGCCCGATCGGGCAGACCTTGCCCGGTCTGACCGGGCGGAGAAGGAAAAATACGGAACGCGGATTTTGCGGTTTTAGGTTATCTTATTTTATTATCTTTTTGCCCAAGTATCTTTTAATTAGGGATTAATATAAAACCTCCCTAATATCAGTATGAGGGTTAAGAGAGAGAGAGTGAGAGCCGTTCTTGAGAAATACAAGAATCATCTTTGTAATCTTTGCAGTTTATAGTGAAATCATTCGATCTCGGTGCCCGTGGACGTAGCTATCACATCGATAGTGAACCACGTAAATTCTTGGTGTTGTTCTTATTGTTTGCATTGAATTTCTTTATTGTTTTCTTGTTTGTTTTCGACCTTTGCTTCCGCTGTCGCACAACAATTGGTATCAAGAGCTCAGGTTCAATCCTTGGAGAGTTTCTTGAAGATAACAATGGCAGGAGATTCAACAATAAGAATTGAGAAGTTTACCGGGAAAAATAGTTTCGGGCTATGGCAAATTAAGATGAAGGCTCTGTTAAAACAACAGCAGATATGGCGTCCGTTGGCTCCAAAGAGTACTACTTCGGAGTCAGGAGACGGACCGACTGACTCGCAGTTAGAAGTTATGGAAGAGAAGGCACACTCTACCATATTACTTAGTCTTGATGATCAAATCATCACGGAGGTTGCTGATCAGGAAACGGCGGCTGGATTGTGGCTGAAGCTGGAGTCATTGTATATGACTAAGTCGTTGACCAACAAATTATTACTGAAACAGCGGTTGTTTAGCCTCCGGATGCAGTCAGGTACTTCCTTACGGGAACATCTAGAAAAACTTAACTCTATTTTGCTTGATTTACGTAATTTAGATGTTAAAATTGATGATGAGGATGCTGCGTTGATTTTACTTGTATCTCTACCGTCTAGCTTTGAGAATTTTGTAGAGTCTTTTGTTGTTGGTAAGGATTCTATAACCTTAGAAGAAGTGAAGGCAGCACTTCATACTAGGGAACTCAGAATGAAAGCTACGAGTGATAATGGGGATAATGGTAGTGGGTTATTTGTTAAGTCCGGAAAGTCTAAAAAGAATAAGGGGTTTAACAAGGGGAACAATGCTGGGTCGGGTGCTGGAAACGGCAAGGATGGATCTAGTAAAACTACTACTAAAACATGTTATTACTGTAAAGAACCGGGTCACTTTAGGAATAATTGTCCGGTGAGGAAAAACAAGTCCCAGGCTGCTGTAGTTGAAGAGAAACCGAATGAGAGCTATAATTCAGAGGAAGATTTAGCATTAGTCAGTTCTGCTAGGTCTGATGATTTATCTGATAACTGGGTTCTAGATTCGGGGTGTTCGTTCCATATGTGTCCACGTCGAGATTGGTTTGATACATATGAACCTCGCAATGGGGGTATGGTTATAGTCGGTAACAATGCTCCATGTAAGGTCACAGGTATTGGTTCCATGAGGTTGAGGACTGTTGATGGGCGGAGGTTAACTTTGACTAATGTACGGCATGTTCCTGCTTTAGGAAAGAATCTGATTTCATTGGGTACCCTGGATGAATTGGGGTACAATGGTGTGTTTTCAGATGGGGAGTTGTGTATTTTCAGAGGTTCTGAGTTGGTACTTAAGGGTATCAAAAGGAACACCCTCTATGTTTTTGAGGGTGTTACACTGCCTAGTTCTGCGGTTTGCGCATCTGTATCTCACCAGGAGATGACTAAGATTTGGCACATGAGGCTTGGTCATATGGGGGAGAAGGGGATGCAGCTATTGTCCAAGAGGGGTCTTCTATCCGGGGTCAAGGTTGCCAACCTTGAATTTTGTGAGCATTGTGTGTTTGGTAAGAAACACAGGTCAAAGTTCAGCAAGGGTGCTCACATTACTGATGCAGTGCTCGATTACATCCATTCAGATTGCTGGGGTCCATCTAGAGTTGAAGGTATGGGAGGTTACCACTATTTTGTGTCATTTGTTGATGACAAGTCCCGATACACATGGCTTAGGTTGCTTAAGTCAAAGGATGAGGCCTTCAAAGTTTTCAAGCAATGGAAAGCTTTGGTGGAAAATCGACAAGGAAGGAAGATCAAGAAGCTACGAACGGACAATGGGCTAGAGTTTTGCAAAGACGAGTTTAATCAGTTCTGTGCAGATGAGGGTATAGGTCGGCATCATACTGTCAGGAAGACACCACAGCAGAACGGTGTAGCAGAACGGGTTAATCAGACACTGCTAGAGAGAGTTCGATGCATGCTCTCTAATGCAGGGCTTGGGAGGAGGTACTGGAGTGAAGCTGTGTTAACAGCTTGTTATGTCATTAATAGGGGTCCTCATTCTGGAATTGATTCCAAAATTCCGTTTGAGATCTGGAGTGGTAAGTTGCCTAATTTTTCGAATTTGAAGATTTTTGGTTGTGTTGCTTATTATCATGTTATTGAGGGTAAGCTGGATCCACGAGCCAAGAAGGGGTGTTTTGTTGGGTACGGGGATGGTGTGAAGGGGTTTAGAATTTTTTCACCTTCGGAGGGTCGGGTCATTCTTAGTAGGGATGTTACTTTCGATGAAAACACCATGTATTCAATTAAAAATGCAGAGATTTCAGATTTGAGAAGGGAAGGAGACAATTTATTACAGACAGATGGGGTACTTGAGGTACATCAGTCTACCATTGCTGATTTACCTCGGGTACAATATATTGATGATGATGCTGATGTTCCAGTGCCGGGTACTCCTGAACCTGAGATTACTCCTACTCATTCTAACTCTGGGGATGAGGTGGAGCAATCTAATCAGGGGTCATCTAGTCAACCTGACACCATTCTTGAGATGCCTAAACGAGTTATCAAGAAGCCTGTTAGATTGATTGAAGAGATGGAGGGAAGAAATTGCTGTGTTGATGCGATGACAGGTTATGCATTGAGTGTAGCTGATGATGTAGAGTCATTTGAACCTGCCACATATAAACAAGCAATTAGTTGTAGTGAGTCTGCGCAATGGCTTGCCGCAATGGGTGAAGAGATGCAGTCCCTTTACAAGAACAGAGTGTGGGAACTGGTAAAGGTACCGGAAGGGAGGAAGCTTGTGGGTTGTAAATGGATTTACAAGAAGAAAGAAGGGTTGTCGGAAACTGAGCAAATACGTTTTAAGGCTAGGCTAGTTGCTAAGGGGTTCAGTCAGGTAGAAGGGGTTGACTTTGTTGAGATATTCTCACCTGTGGTTCGACATACTTCTATCCGTGTGTTATTGTCAATTGTAGCACATTTTGATCTTGAGCTGGAGCAGTTGGATGTTAAAACGGCTTTCCTTCATGGCGATTTGGAGGAGGAGATTCTGATGAAGCAGCCCGAAGGATTCGAAGTTCCTGGAAAGGAACACTATGCCTGCAGATTGCTAAAGTCATTGTATGGACTTAAGCAATCCCCCCGACAGTGGTACAAAAGGTTTGATTCTTTTATGGTTTCACAAGGTTTTGACAGGAATTCATATGATTGCTGTGTGTATCATAGTAAGCTGGATAATGGTTCCATGATTTATCTTTTGTTATATGTTGATGACATGTTGGTTGCCACAAAGAATAAATCTGATATTGCTAGATTAAAGGAGATGCTTAACTCGGAGTTTGACATGAAAGACTTGGGTGCAGCTAGGAAGATTTTGGGTATGGAGATCTACAGGGATCGGGCTAGAGGTAAGCTTTTCTTGACTCAGAAAAGCTACATTGAAAAGATTTTGTCTCGTTTTGGGATGGAAAAATCGAAGCCTATAAGTACGCCAACTACTGTTAGTTGTAAGTTGTCTTTGTCTATGTCACCTCAATCAGAGGAGGAGTTGTCTTATATGTCTAGAGTTCCATATGCAAACGCGGTTGGTTGTTTGATGTATGCTATGGTCTGTACTAGGCCGGATATTGCGCATGCTGTTAGTGTTGTAAGCAGGTTTATGGCTCGACCTGGGAGGGAACACTGGCAAGGGGTGAAAAGGATTTTTCGCTACCTGAGAGGGACAGCTGATATTGGTCTTGTGTACGGGAATGGTAAGGAATGCTTGGTCACTGGGTACAGTGATTCTGATTATGCAGCTGATGTGGATACCAGGAGGTCTGTGACTGGTTATGTGTTCACTTTGGGTGGTTCTGTGGTTAGTTGGAAGTCTACATTGCAGTCATCAGTTACGTTGTCAACTACTGAAGCTGAGTATATGGCTTTAACTTCTGCAGCTAAGGAGTCTATTTGGCTCAAAGGCCTAGTAGGTGAACTGGGTATTGCACAGGATTTTGCTACAGTGTATTGTGATAGTCTAAGTGCGATTTGCTTAGCTAAAGATCAAGTACACCATGATCGGACGAAGCACATTGATGTCAGGTATCATTTCTTACGTACTGACAAGAGGATTAAGGTGAAGAAGATTGGGACTGCTGACAACCCGGCTGATTTCTTCACTAAGCCTGTTCCGTTTAGCAAGTTTAAACATTGCTTAGACTTGTTAAATATTGATTACTACGTGATGTAGTAGGCCCTGAGGGGCGAAGTTGGGGAGCTCCTGGTGTAGGTGTGTTGGCCTTAAGGTGGAGCTTGCCCGGGGCTTGTGATGCAGGTGGAGCATTATGAGTTGTTATACTTGGAGACGAGTATGTGATGGGTCTTGGTTGAAGACTTATCGGGATGTATGGCTTATGCATGAGTCTTGCATCGGGTTTGGCTTGAGATGTTTTTTTCACTATGTCTTGATGGGGTCGTTTGCTGACTACGAGTTCTCGTCAAGGTGG